CCATGTCAGTCACAAAATACATAATATGTAATAAATTAAACATTTTTTGAACAAGACAGCAATTCTAATTTTGATTTATATCCGTTTAAATATTTATCTAGCCCCCCAAATCTACTTAGATTATAAAAAGTACAGGTGGGATACCAAAAAAAAAAAAAAAAATTAGCCCCCCTAAAAATAAAACCATAGTTGCTCCTATGGGTAAATGTGATCAAATGATATTAGTTTATACCAATGAGAATTATATTTTTAGTACATAGCAGTTCATGTAACTCAAAATTAATTAAACAATATTATATATGCAATATCTAATTTAATATCATTAATTACAAAAAAGTTATATATATTTTGGTATCAACATTATTAATTAATATTATTTATTTCAGAATAAATTACATTAAATTAGTGTAAATGTGTATCATATAAGTAATTTTTAATAAATAAAAATCAATAAATTTACTTATGAGTTACGACAATGTATGAATGTACATATAAGTTAATGATATAAGTAGAAATACAAAACACTAGTCTCTTGATTGTATTGCACGGTTTTAGTATGGTTAAAAAGGCTGTATTTTTAATTATGGTTCCAATCCCTGACCAAATTTTAATTAAAAATCTCAATGTTAAAAAAAAAAAAATGTTTTGAGCACCTAATAAATAATATCTTTTTTTAGATCTTTTAATTACAAAATTAACTATTCATAAAAAATACCTTAATTTAAACTGACAACCCTTAGCTATAAAAAATGAACATTTTTTAAATATTTGAGTGCAAAATTATTTAGAAATTGTTATGATTTTCATGATGAAAAAAAACACATGTCATTGTAAATGGAATACATTTTTTTATCTCGCTCCTCAGAATCTAAAATGTACAGCTGTTTCTTAACATTAAACAATCATTTTCTATGACAATTTCAATATTTTTGATTAATTTGAATTTATCATGTATAAATATACACATTTGTTTTAAAAACAGTTATATATTTCATATCCAATAATATTTTTCAAAAAAATAGTATTATCTAGGTATACAAATCTAATATCAAACTGAATAATTATCTGTCTTAAATTAAATTTATATTAATTAATGACTTATCATCAATATCTTAATATTTAATTTATTTATTAACCATCATAACAAACTTCATCAAGATCTGGGTCATTATCTTGAGTCTCATTTGTTGTTTTCAATTCACTATAGAATTGATGAAATATTGGTGGAATCAGAGGTAACAGATCTAGCAAATCTTTCTTTTATTCTTTTGATATTGGTATAGGTCCATTGTATTTTTTTTTTACTTGTAATATAGCGCTACTATGTCCTCTGCGAAGAAAACTTAATGTTTTAAATGATTAATTTTCCAATTGTAACATAAAAAAAGCTCCACTCGAAATCGAAAGTTAATTAACTGTTCAATGTTGGATAAAGTTTCAATTTTAAATATTTAAATTCCAATCACAGTTAAACATTAATACAATCGTCATGATTAACAAATGCTGTGGGTGTCGTATCGCGCTCTTAAGAAAGTATCTAATGCAGGCTTACGTGTAAATTATACATTTTATCTAGTTGGAGTCTAGATTCTAGTCTCTAGAATAATAACTTAAAAACTTTTTTTAGTATAACTTTTAAAATCTCAAAACAAATAGTTAAAATATTTGTATTAATTAGGTACCTACATTTTGATCTTTTCAATTTTTTTATGAGGAACTCTGTGACACCTAATGTTCTTTTTTTTGTTGACTAATAATATCAGTATTCTATGTACATTTAATCATAGTACTAAAATATTTAATATCTACACCTATTGGTAACCGTGATAATGAGCTTTTATATTTTCAAGTACATTTATCAGAATCGCTATTTACAATAATAAAGTATGAATTTTAAATTTAGTTGATTACTTTGATTCTATTCTTAGAACATTTAATGTGTTTAGGTTTTTGGTCTCTTTGTGATGAAAATAAATCTCATTGATTATGATAATTTGTAAATAATACTTGGATATATTATTGATTGATTTTAAAGTGTTCACGGATTTCAGCAAAAGTATTTTTTTTTTTAAACAAGAAAAATTGCTATAGTAGTTATAATTATTCAAAATTTTTACATATAAAATCCATAAGTTATTTTCTAAATAAATATTTTTTAAGCTTTTATTTTATCTATAATTTACTTATAATATTAAATCATAATTTATAAAATTAATTTACAGGGATTAGTGTTAAAAATGAACCCGATGATCCTGAGATCAACGCAATGGCTCTCAAAATGAAAGAAAGCTATAAAAAAAATGCAATAGGTGCAGCAGAAAAACAGGCTTCTTCTCTGGCTAATGCACCAATGAAAACGAATAATACACAAAATAATTATCAAGAAAAATTACCTACAGTTTGTGAAGATATAGAGAGTATAAAAGGTAAGCAATCAGGAATTAATCCATGTTTTGAAAATTTCCAAAACACTATATTTTATGTTCTTTTATGCAATATAGGTAGATTTTCTTGGAAATTAATTGAAGGATATGAGGTACCCTATATCAAACGAGTAATTAAAGGTGAACATTTAAAGTTTGTATCAGTACGGATGGCTGAAGCTAAGCTACTCAGCAACTATTTACATTATTTAAATTCAGATATTTATACATGCACATCAGTAAGAAGTCATTTTATCACTGATTCTGAAGCTAAGTTATTAAATACCATCAATCAAGAACATGCTAACTGTTTATACGGAAGAAAAATGTTTTTTGCGAGAAAAGATTGTATTGTTCGTTTAGAAGATGTTATTGAATTTCGAACATTTATAAAATTATGTTATACAAACTTACAAAGGAATAATAGACCAGCTGGCAATGAAAAATGCGGTTTCATACGTATTGGTTCTGATTTTGTTGTACCATATTGTATTAAAGATAGCCAAAAATATGTTCCACTATTTTTTTTTGAGGGCAACACAGAAAACATGGAACCAAGAGGTCTAAAATTCGAAAATTGGGACTTGGCTTATCTTAAGTTCTGTTGTAAGGTTCAGGGTATCAGAGATGAGTTATTTGCCAGTAACTCATGCACAATGATCAATCTTGATGAAATCAGGAGTTGTTATCCACCAGAAACGAATTTTGAAGAATATTGGCCCAGTATGGCGACTGATACACAACTCCTAACTAATCAGTCTACCCATGTCAATCCATCAGGTGTATGGATCATTGCACCCTCTGAAGAACTAGTATCAACTGGAAATAATATTCCTCAAACATCAACCGCACCATCACCTGCAGTAGAACCACATGTGGATATGAACAATTATCAAAACGGACGGACAGGAAACCAAGCGGTATGCATTAAGTATTTAGTATATCAAATGGCTTTTATAATTTTAGTTCTTTAAAAAAACTGTTGCTTGTATGTTTATTACTATTAATATTAAGTTGTTGTCTATATAATATATATCAGTAAGACAACAGTTTTTATTTTAGTTTTTATTGGATTTTCAGCTTCAAACAATGTCTCAAGGCACCAGTTTGATAAACAGTGAGGGATATGTTGTGCCACCAAGCAATCCAGTTCTAGTATAGTAAGTGCAACCAAAATAATACAAATAATCAATTTTGTAAGTACCTATCTAAAAATAGAAAAATTATTATTTTTGCTTATAGTTATACTGCACCATACTCCAACGTTGTTCCTATTAGCCAATGTGTGCCAAATATGTCCAATCCAATGACCAATAACAATTTAGTTATGTCACATTCAAGTCAAATGCCACAATTAAACGCTCAACATACTAGTATGATTAGTCAAACCTATCTACAACAGTTGCAGCAACAGCAGATACAACAAATAATTACTACTCCTCAAACTCAGCAGTCATATTATAGTCACCAACCTGTGCATGGTCGTTTAAACAACACTCAACAACACAACGCATTGAGAAATGTTCGGTCCATCTCAACTGCTCCTGTCACCGATATCATTGACTTATCGTCTTCACCGCCAAGCTCTGTTTCTCCAACTGAGCAAGCTTCTAGACGGGAATTTTCGAGAATACTTGAACAGCCGCAAAGACATGACACATCAAATAATGCTGCATACAAGGTAACAATGTTTAATATTTTGATACTAACTGAAATTATTATGGTCTAGAATAAAATAATATTATGTTTTAAACCTTTATAAAATATAGAGCATTGTTACCTTTATATTTAAAAACAAGTATATATTTGGTCACAGGAATTAACTTCAGGAAATTTTGTAGAACATTTATAAGTTGACAATGTTCATTAAATAAAAATAAGATACTAAGTGTTAAACTTTAAATTAATAATATCATAATTTTTTGATTACGTTTGTATTTAAATGTAACCATTCATATTAATAGATACCTATGTATTAGTTTCACTAGACCAATGATTTACATTTGTGTAGTTTTTCTGTCAACTAAATATGTGTACATAATTTATACTTTATAACAAAGTTACTTTTTTTTTTACTTAATATTTTTGAACTTCTTACAATAATTATTTCAATACTTATTATTTGACCAATTGCAATGCGTATCAATAAATAACAGGCCTATATGTTTTCAAATTAAATGCAAAAGATTATTAAAACAAACAGCTACTATTTAGACTTATTTGAATACTGAAAATACTTTTTAAAATTATTTTAATATGTGCATAATACTTACACATGTTTGTATTTGATAAATAAATAATATTTATATATATTTATATATTTAACACAGATTCAAAAGGTTCAAATGGTTCATGGGAAAATTGTACATTGCATAAACGCAAAACCTCACATATATTCAGATTGGTTGGTGATATTAGACGATCTAGTAAAGACAATGTTACCTTTCACCACTGTCGCGAGTTGCGGTCATGCTTTAAACAGATACTTAAATACGACAATATCCTGTGGAAACTCGTAAGTGTCTCCTCTTCACCTCCTCATTTTAATTATCATTATACTCCTACTACTCTACTAAATGTGTTCGGAAGGCGTTAATAAATTCATGTGTTTGACAGGGAACAGTTGGCCGTGTTGCGGGAAAACGGACATCTCAGTTCGGTGTACCAGAATGGCACGCCGTTGGCTTCGCTGCATGATGTCATGCGTGTTTTTGAGCAGTTAAAGACATTGTTGCATGAAAATACACAAAAATATCAATCTTGGGCTGATCCGTCCAAGAGGCGACGCTACAGTTAAGAATGGGCCGGGTACGACAGGAGCCGACCCGACTGGCCGAAGCCGTTGGCGGGTGCAGCATCAGCAGCAGCAGCTGCAATGGTGTTGCCATTCCCACTCCATCAGCCATTCCCGCAGCCGCCAATAGTTCGTACTCGCTGACAGCAACGATTGGCCAAACTTCGGTGCCTCTGATACAAAATAGTAATATACGTATTTAAATGCCACGATATTTTTAGATATTTTTCCATTAAATAATTATTTTTTTTTTTTTTTGCATTTACTCTTAAGTATTAATTAAAATCTAAGTTGTTTAATATACAATGAACACTTGTAAAATTGTAAGTTGACTATATTTTGTACATATTTAAAATTTGTATAGAATAATTAAATATAGAAATTTATTTTTTCAATGAATGTTGTTTAATTTTGTACTAAAAAAAAAAAAATAGAAATCTCTTATTTTTTTATTAGTAGTTATTACAGATTATATTTACCTACCTCATATAATACTATATACAAAATTAGGCTTAACGCCGATCCCTGACACAATATTCGATTTAGCTATAGTTCTAGGAATTCATGCAGAAAACCGCGTGTATCAAGTGGAGTACAAATGCACGATAACGAATATATATATAAATAATTTTTTTAATGTATCATAAAATCAAACAAAATACGTCTGAACGAGAATACTCAAGAAAGTATAGGACTGAAATCACTTGTCATTTGACGTAAAATGTATAACTCCGCCGTAGCATGATCGGGGCAGACAGTAAGCATAGGCGCAAATTGAGGGGGGGAGGGCCTTAGCCACTACCCTAAAAAATCTAGGAAATCTAATTTTAAAATCCTACATTGTAAACGTGTATAGTTTGTAATTTTAGATTTTGAGCTGGGCGAAGAATGTATTGATTTTACAATGATGTGTGCTTTTTTTAATTTTTTTATTTTTGTCTCTATCATCACGGTTTCAGGCAGTAAATGTGCTTCGATTTTCTTCAACAGTAACTTTTCTTTTAGGAAATTGAATCTAGTTGGTGCACTTAGGATTTCAAATTTGAAATTCACAATAGTTTTCAACAGCGACAGGAAAAACAAACAAAAAATTAATGAAAAACTGGAATTTTTAAGCGAAAGTAGTTTTTGAAAAAATCGAATTTGGTTTTTAGTGTAACTCTAAAAAAATGACCATAGATGCATGCATTTTTCACTGTTTGTTTGTATTAGAATTTAAAATTGTATAAACACCATATCAATTAAAAATATTTTGACAAAATGAAATTTTCGATTATTAATATTTTTCTTTTTTACTATCGATACATTTTTGGCTAAAAAAATGTAGAACTTTCCTCGTAAGTTGTTAGTGGAATTTAAAAAAAAAGTTGAGGGTGAAACCATAACATTTTTTTTGACAAAATTCGTAAAAATTAGCAAATTATTTTGAGTTGGAATAATGCATAAAAAAAAGTTTTTATCTAAAATTCTTTATATAATTTCTAACAATAAGTTTCCTTAATTTTTCAATATTAAAGTGGTAAATAGTACACATATTTACAGAACTATCAGATAAAATATTCAATATTGGTCAGGCATTTATAATGATTGCATAGACATAAAATGCATTAAAGCTATTAAGAGATTGATTCTCTGAAAAACATGTATGACTTCTACTCTTGAATAACGCTGAAATAAACGTTCATCAGCTGGACAACCATTTTGGAGTAACGTCACAATGAACCCTAGAACAATTATGAAATATAAATATTTACAATCATCTAAATATTAAATATGGATCAATGATAAGTATGAACTAAGTGTATATTCATCTTAGAAGTGACTCAAACAATTATATTCTATTTAAATATAAGATAGATTATAACATATGCGATAAAAGTATACAGAAGTAGTTTTGAAAGAAATGTCAACAACAATAAACGAGAACATAAATGTGAAAAAAACATGATGTACAATGTATGAATAATTTTGGTATGAGAAGAAAATGTAATATTATTTTGCAGTTGTTAATATAAATATTGTAGAATGCAAATTATAAATTGACTATTACTCGTATGTCAGAAACATTCATTCAGATGAATGTAAAAACAAAATTATGGATATGAAATCATATAACTGTAGAAATTCAATAATGATTTTAAATACTAAATATCCAACACTCTTAAAGTCTTCACCATAAATCAAAGCAATGTTTATTAAAATAACTATTTCCAACAGTAAGTTTCCTTAATTTTTCAATATTAAAGTGGTTAATATTTATGAGGTAAAATATACATATTGTGACATTATGTTAAATAGTTTACTACACTCTGAAGGAGTTCTAAGTTCTTGTAGTACCAAAGTTTCTTGTACGCCAAATTGTATATTGTGTTTTTCAATATATATCATTAATTTGATTATAAAACCATCAAGCTTAGTAAATAACAATGATTTCTTATTTGCGGGATATAGTTCTTCAAAATCAATTTCAATCTATATAGAAAATAAAATATATAAATTCAAGAAAACACTAAAAATATATTAATTAGTAAATTACACTATAATGTTATAAAAGTGTTTGAGCCTGTTTATTTGGAGCAATGAATTATTTTATTTAGATTTACAAATTATCAAAGATGAAATATTACAACTTAATTACCGATAGATAGCCTGTAGGTTTTTTTAAAGCAGGATAACTATGTGTTTCTAAAAATCCTTTCTTATTTCTAAATTTAGAGGTTTCTTTCCAATATTTGAATAAAATGTGTTCAGGCTCGACATTGTTTTTTAGCCATTGAATTCTGTCTTCATTATCTATTGCAAATAATAAATTATTTTATTTTCTAAATTCTTTATGGTCGTAAATCACATTAAAATAATTAATATAAAAACTAGTGGTAAGTACCGGCATTATTTTCATCATCATTAGTCACACATGCTATAGTGGCAGGAGCTTCAATTTTCTTAATTTCTTTTTTTAGATTACAATATTTATTGTACAATTTCCCTCTAGTTGGAATTTGAATTTGTCCTGCACTTCTGCAATATGGTGTGTAATATGTGTCCTTAGATTCAGTAGGGAAAATCATTTCTATGCCTAAACCTGGGATGTATGGTTTTAGAATTAAAATCATTTTTAAATAAAAACTATTTTTTATTATTTACCTTCAGCTAACAGTAAAAATTTTGATTTATTAATTTGGTGACTTGGATCAGTTTTTAATTCATGTTTGACTAATATAGATGTTAATGAATTTCTGGTGACACTATTTAAAATGCCTTTTGTTATATAAAATTTTAAAATCATCAAACCGTCTCGGCATTTATTCAGAATTTCCTTTACAATGTTTCCCTAGAAAAAAGTTTTAGACTCAATTCTTTTACTTTTATTAGAATACAAAGGTTTTTACAAAATATTTATACCTTTTTGGGATCTACAGCAGGTATCATTTTTGTCAATTGAGTTGAGGCAGGAATACTTTTTAAAATTATTTTGTAAATATTGATGGTAACTTCAATTTAGTGGTCAATGTTTATTGAATTTGAAATTTATAAAAAAATGTATTTAACATTAGTTGGCACTTACCATCAATCAATGTATTACACTCTTACATTATTAAAGATGGTGTTATACTTGTTATAGAACCTGAAGCCTAATCATCCATTTCAAATGGTAAGCTCTACATATCAATACAACCTACATTATCTGTAGTTATGTCTTCTGAATCTAATATTATGAACATCTAATTAAATTGTTTAAAGGTACCTAAGGAGATTACTTTTGGCTAATTATTAAAAAATATAAATACATGGCGTTCCAGGATTGATAGAAATATTTTGACCGTGTACATTTTTGTTAACTTTCTGTAGGGATATAAAATTAATGTAACATAAAAAAAATATTGAATAACATTTAATAATATTAGGTATCTAATGTAAGAATAATTCATTTTTACTGGCTTCTTAATAATATACGTATACCTATCCTTTATGACACAATCAAAACATACTTTGTGTACCCAGTGGCATGTCCAGGGGGGATATTAGGGGTTATATCCCCCCATTGTTTTTTTTAGCTTAACTACAGGAAAAAAACAATTCACAGCTCCTATATTGGTTGTGGTTAGGTTAAGTTTGATTTACTTTACTAAACTTTACTTAACTAAAACTATTTTAATTTTATGCATATTATAAATGTATCGATTTAATGATGTTATTTCAATTGAATAACTTAGTATAAGCGTATATTAAACACAAGTGTATATTAAACATATGGCTATAACTTATTTCCGTTACCAATATTTATTTCACAGTGGCAGAATATGATTATTATTATTTGGAATATTTCGATACATAATATGTAAAAAATAATAAAAATTATAAAATACTCATGCAAGCATGAATATTTCTTTTCATAATATTAATACGATTATTATACATTTTGTTTAGTATACAAAATAGTTATACATACACAGAACGAAAAACATCTTTACAATTCACAAAAATAACAGTTAATTCAACAAAAGCATTGTTAACATAGGGCCAACAAACAGTATTGTTAATAAAAAAATTGTAGTATTGTTCATCTTCAGATTTACAAATAGCATTGTTATTTTGTTTAAAATCTTGTTTAATTCAACAATATTAGCCTATCAATTTTTCAATCAATAGAAATTATGTTTGATTAAATTAACAAATCATTTTATAAAGTTAACAATTTATATTTTGTAAAATTGATATAACTGCTGTTAAAAATTGTAGATATTTGCATTATCAATTCAACAGTAAATCATGTTTGTTTTAAAGAAGTTTAATTGTTAATATAAACTTAATTTAATTCAGCAGGTGATAAATTTTAAAAAAGCCCAATTTTTATTTTATTTATATAACATTAAATACTTGTATATTTAAATATACTATATAGGTACATTATATATTCTGTATAAATAAAAATGTATATATCCACACTTTTAGGTTTTTTTTTTAAATATATTTTTTAGAGCATGTTTTTTTTTTCAAGTTTTTGAAAGTTAGTTCCTCCTCTAATACATTTCTGCAGTAGTTGTTTCTGGATAGTAATGGTAATAATGTTGCTATCTCATGGCCCATGGAAAAAAACATGCGGTTAGTAAACTTTCAAATACTTAAAAATATGTAGTTTATTTATTTCCAATAAATGTTTAAATTGCAACCATTACTACCTACTTGTCTGCCCATTTTTGAC